CGTCCGTGGCTACCTATAATTGTCTCGGGTGCAGACCAACTTACCTTGTTCAAGTGATCTCAACACGCGACTGTTTGTCGTTTTACAGGCCACTTACTTCGAACCATGACCAGTAATCATCGACAATGCTGTGCAGTGGTAGAGATTTGCTGCCTGTACCTCCCATTCATCCTAGTTTGGCTACATCGACTGCTTACTGTTCTCACCACTAATTCCGCATGAACAAATGAGATTGCCTCGGGCTCCTGTGCAACCTGCTATCATAACCAAAGGCAATTTCTCCTTGCTCCCAACTCTGTTTCCAATTGTGCATTTTTCTAACTCTGAAAGCACTGCATAAAAAGTCTGGCTGCAGGACGCAGTACACATGCACTCTGCAAACTACCAGGATTGATGAATAATTAGCTAAAGCCTTGCAACACAATTGAAACATTACAGCAAGAAAAACATGAAACTATTTACCCATTCAAGCCGCTCCAGTTCGTGTTTGTTTTGCTCACGCAAGACTGCGCGTTCGATGGCTTCTTGGGTGAATCGATTAGCCATCTCCTTGTAGTTCTGTAAGGCTGCAACTAGATGACGCTTAGCGACTGATCCACTCATTTCTAAACTCTCATGAAGCTTCTCGATGCGTTCCAGTGTCATGGCAAGCAGAGTGTTAACCTCCTCCATTGTCATCTCTGTTCCGTCCTCTGCAAGGCAGCGGAAAGTTAAAACTAAACCGCCGAAAGACCCCCAAACTATCAAACAACGCGATAAACGAGTTTATCAGCATTCGTCTAAGTGGAGTATTCGTAAAGCAATCTATTTTCTGGCCATCATAGCCATTTGGGCTACTTCTGGAGTGTAACTAATACTTGCTACAATCTTTACAATTTCAGCTAATTGCACCAACGAATCGTTCTGGCAGTAAGGAAAACAGGCACGGAGTGACCATGACCTTCCACAGAATACGGGGCTGTCGCTTTACAACCACCGACATTGCAATCAGATGTTGCAGCGACGGCCTGATAATGCCAACTGTTTCGAGGCAGAATATGACACCCTTACAGTTCAATAAATCTGACTTCTGATTTAAAGCCAATGTTAAAAATAACTGCGATCCACCTGACAGGTACCGCCATGACCTCAACTGGTTGATATTAGCTCTTGGAGTAACTTTTGTGTGTTTTTACACTATCGCTTAAATATCACTTTCACTTTCCATCAAACTCGACCAGCAGTTTGCCGTAGTCATGCACTTTGGATGACCTTCCTCGCCAGGAAACTACTAAACAGAGGCTGATTAAACCGCAGTCTAAAAATTTTTTCTTATCACAAAATTTAATATCTGCTAGTTTACCGTGTTTTGTCCAAATAAATTCACAGAACGCCTTGCCAAAACTCCTTAAATTTGCTTAAAATGCAACATTAGTGAATTTTTTACAAGAGTACTGATGTGCCAGCTACAGTAGAGATCGTTTTTTTCTAAATTGGTGTGGCTGCAGCATACGACCTAAACGGACATATTGGTGCTGCATACTGGTTTCAAGCAGGCAGACAAATTTGATAATCAGTGAGGTCGTGATGCGGAATGCACATTCAAGCCCACGTAGCCGCACATTACCATAATCTAGTGCATTCACTGGGTTAAATTAAATACTGGGTTGCAATGCGAGTTGTGACCCACGAGGACGAGCAAGTAAGCCACTCTAACACTGAAAAGATCACACTCTAAGACCAACGACATGGGCACAAATTTATTTAGGTCAATTCAACCACGAAAAATTAAGAGAACTGTGCACAACAGACTGTGTTGATCACCGAATACAGCCCCGAAGATAGTCAAAGATCTTCTAAATGTGATGTTTTAGTCTCCCGTTCGAAAGGTATCGTGAAGGTTTTAAAATTACCAAGGCAATAAATACCATGAAATGTGTTGTGAACTACAGGAAATAGGTCGGCAGACGGCCTCACGGAATGCAAACACCAGAAATACAATAAAACGACTAGTCCATCAAAGTCAATCAACCAGCGAGTTCGCATTCGCAAAATAAGATAAAATTAAAGAAGTCAAACAAGAACTACAGTAACCGATGTGGACGGGGATTGACATAAAACCGCACCCGTCTACTGAAATACCAATACCATCAATTACCAATGAATTCAAAATACCAAGAATTAAATTAGAGGATGCTCAGGGGCAATTAAAAAGACTGATTTGCGTACCTAAATATGCTTCTCATTACCTCAAGCGATAATGTGGAGGTTTTAAGTTTACCGGCCAACGCAACAGTGAAAATGTAGTTACAAAATAATAACGTGGAAAGAGCCAAATCACTAAACCATAACGACCTAAACAAAGAAGGAACATTTAAAATGCGAAAATTTATTGATTCCGCTATAGTTATGCCTTTTGGAAAAACCGAGGACAATTTAAGAAGTTTTAAGTAGAAATTATAACTTGGAAACAAGCAAGTAAAAGACTTCTTTACTGCATTCCAATTAAAAAATCTTTAAGTCAAAATTATCTCTTCCAATGGCAACAAACACTGGTTCATCAAAATGTTTTGCTTTAGTAGATACGGTTATTTTGGACGGGAAAACTAATAATTTAAGAGTGTGTAATGAATCGAGTGGGTTCACGTCCATTAACACTATCGACGCAGAGCCAGACTCGTCACGCAAACACACACACACACACAACACAACCAGGCTGAGCCGTCTCTGATCCCGCCAGTCGTCCCGGGTGTATGTGCGTAGCATAATCGTAACAATGCAAAGTGGCGGCATCCATGCGGTTCGAAGCCACATTACCGGGGCCTTCAACAGGCATTGGTCCCATTTGGCAAGTGCCTCGGGATAATATTACTAATCGGCTAAACAATAACGTGGTTTTAGCGTTTCTTTCCACCCTCTCAAGTCGAAAAACTGACATGTTATTGTAAATTGACCTACCTTATCTACAAACACACAAAGAGCAATTAACCAGGACGTGAGCAGCTTTACCACCCACATCCAGGCTTTTCCTTCGTGTAACTTTCTTAAACTCGAGGGAATCGACATTGCAGTTTTAACCCGATTGCTCTGATGAGATAGTTGGTAGCTCTTCACAAAAATATTTTTTGCGAATTCCATTTGACCTGTAACTGATCTGACTAGAATGGCATTAGCTTAGCGGAGCAGCTAGCTCAAATCAACACAACACTGGACCGTGACAAAGCCATGGTGAATTGGAGATTTTATGAGTTCGGATTGCAATAGTTCTGAGTCAAATCGCACCCTTTAGGACGTTTTTATGGGACTCTTTGGGGGACCTCCTCAGGCTTTACAAATCTGGAAAACAGCTTTATTTAAAAAAAAGATTTCAGCTATCGAAAAACGCATCCGCAGAGATATATACTTACAAATAATGCAAACTCTTGCTAAATCATACATTTGAATTAAAATATTGCCGATGGATTAACTTGGTGTAATCGAATAATAGTAGTCCTTTAAAACTGCTTAAATAAAACAATAACTTTGTTAAACTTATGAACCCATTTTACATGTAATTGCGCATGACCAGTGGCGGTCTTTAATGAAAGTGCGATGAAGCATAATGCATTGCAAAATTTAGACATGTTTTTTTTGACCGAAGATAAACCACCAACGCTAATCATATTCAAAGTAACTTTGCACAATACTGAGCTGATCGTTTGAGCGCTAATAATTCTTGCAGCAGTACATCACTGAATTGGTTTTTATGTAAAATGAACACACATGCACACTAATTTGAGTCAATCGACAGCAGAGAAACGAAACAACAAATACTTTTGACTTATTCATTGGTCACGTAACCCTTGTGCTGGTAAATAATACAGTTTGAAAAGGAGTTTCATAGGATAAAGTCGGCGATTACTTTTTTACAAAAATGCATGATTTTGAGACGGACATTTGTGACGTTCTGTCCTGCATTTAGCCACGTACCCGAAAACACCTCAGGCTGGGTTAAACTGGCTTCCCTGTAACCCACACAGGATGGGGCCGAATAAAGAGATTCGACGGGGCTACGAAAAATCCTGTGTTATGCAAGCACTTGGGAAAATAGGAGACTCAGTGTAACTAATTTCAACTTATGAATGTGTGATAAAGCACGGCACTCTGGCCACCATATGAAAATAATCAAAACCAACAACTGAAATGAGCGGTTTCCATAACGGGGTTGAGTTAGGTTCTTTAAAATGGGTCGGTGGATTTTTTAAACGGTGGTGTTTAAGCCGCCTTATGATAGGAATGAGTTTCACTTGGGATTCACAAGGGCTTAATCATGCGATATCGCTGTTCACGCCTAGAGCTTTCATTTAGGCACAATTCGCTGAAAATTGGAAAAAAACAAGCACAAATACGGTGATTCAAGTGACAAAGCAGTTATTTGTTTCCCAAAACATTTACATGTCCAAAGCCTGACATCTCTCAAGTGCTGTGCGTCAAACGGTGTTTCATTATCTAAAAACAGCACAAAACACGATGGCAGATACTAATGTTGATAACATAATAAAAGTGCTCTCGTCTAATGATGCTAAAAGTAAATTTAACGAAAAAAATGTTGGATGACACCTCAATTTGGCTGCAAGCTCCCAAAAGGCAATAGAATGTCTAATATCAAATAATGTTGCCCATTTACGCCGACAAACAACGCCCTAAGTTAAAAGGGGATTGTGTGCACTGAAAAAATCAAAGTACAGATAAGCGTGAAAATGGGTGCTACTAGCAATACCTTTCACAACGAGTTTCCCCGAGGGCGGCTTGGGAAGAATGGCCTTGATGTCATCTTGCAACTTTAACCGATCAGCGCTCTCCGACTTTGCAAAGTTCAAGGCAATGGCAAGCTGCGTCTGAAGGCGACGAACCTAAATTTAGTACAAGAACTTAGGGCCTGTAACCAATGTAAACTGGCTCCGGTGGTAAAAGATAATAAACCATCTTGTAAGGGAAAAAGGGAAGGCTCAAGTTAGATTTCCAAATGATGTATTTTATGGCACGACACGATTTCGACATAAAAAGGAGAAATCAGCACAAGCAACCGACAACATGGGACAAGAAAAACAAGTAAAGAGCCAGAAAATTAAATTATACACACGACCATTACACATGGCCTATGTACACATGGCCACCTAATAGCACCCTACGCGTTTGTCGCATCTCTGTAGCCCTCTGCAGCAATAGCTCTGTCCACCTCCAAAAGCACCCAAAACCAATCATGCACAACTCCTTATTTGCAAGACCGCGTGCTCAATCCACACACATGACCCACCACCCCAATCACG